GGGGAGGGAGAGGAGGAGGAGGGAATAATCTGTTTATTATATAGGAATCCCAACTCTAGTTGTGAAGGAAAATAAATGATGCTGGGCTTTTTGTCTGAGTAAATACCTGTTGTCACCTCAGGACTGTGCCGTTAGGTGTCTAGTAATTAGGTTCAGAATTTATACTGTGAATTCATATAAAGCTAATAAATCTCAGAGAAAATGTCTACTGAATTGAAGGAAAATATAAATATTCACAAAACTTAGCCATGACTTACAGTAACAATTCAGTAATGAAATAAAGAACTTTTACCACATGAGTGAAACTCAAAAGAAGAATTCAAGGTCTGCTTATGACATTAACTTTGGAAAGTATAAATTTGACAGTAATGAACATGCTGTAGTTCTTCATCATGAAGAAACATGCTGATCATGTGCCAAGATTGTGATGAAACAGTAAAGAAAGGAGATGGGAGGAAAGGTGGAGGGAAGAGGGCAAAAAGAGGAGCAGCAGAGGGATGGAGAAGGGGAGGGGGAGGAAGAGGAGGAGGGGGAGAATGAGGAGGGGAAGAGACGGGGTTGAGGAGGAGGGGCCGGAGGAGGAGGAAGAGGGAAAAAGGAAAATGGCATTGGACTATCCCAAATGATTTAAGGAGAAAGTGAATATTTGAAAATGTACAAAAAAAAACCTGTCTCATACAGAAATGACAGGCAGGAAGGAAGACATGTACTTGAAATATACTTACAGAATCTAGCTTTAAAGCATATAGAAATGTAAGACAAATCCATTAAAATTTTACAAGAGCACAATGATGATCAGAGTGTGAGATACAAGCCCCACAACACAAAGGATTTTCAAGCTTAGGGCTGTGCGATGGGATATCACCACAGGCATTAGGCTACTGTGCAGCCAGGTCACAAAGATCATTGCAGGATGGATGGTGAATAAGCTCTGCTGTCTCTATTTCACAAACATGTTTTTAAAAGTACTTAATACACAAGAAGACAACATAAAAAGTATTGTTAAAGAAAAATTCTAAAAGAATGATGTACTGCCTAAACATCTTGATGTTAATTATTTGTTCAAAAAAATTCTGTAAAATGTGGGTGGTTGTTTACACAGAAAAACATGTTCCTAGAAATTTATTCTGTAAAGATCTATTTGCTAAATTAAGAAAAAGGATATTTTTGTGCTTTTTCTACACCTAGTAGAAACAGAGATAAGAGTAGAAGTTCAAAATTATGTTTAATTCTCACAGCATCCAAAACTTGATAGAGCATAATCAAATATATTTAATAGTGAAAATAAGACATTCTTTGAAGTTATTCAAAACTTATTCTTTGAAAAATTCACGTTTGTAAAGATTAAAAAGGAAAAATAAAATTCAAGCTTTATTGAACTAGCTAACTACAGAAAATGTAGAGGTTTAACTTCTGCTCATAACGAGACTGCCAGGTTAGAAACACTGTACATGGATAGCATTCAGTACCAAATCCTGCTCAAAGAAATTGGGGCTGGGGGATGAAAATGTATTTGGCTCCCTCGCTTTCCACTCTTTAAAATATTCATGAAAAAAATCACTGGGAAAAGGGCAAAATCAGAGCAGTGTTTGAAAAGATATTCGATTAACTCAAATGGTGTTTAGTGATAAAAAGCTTTTCAGATAGGTTTGTACAACTTGTTAGCAAAGAAACAAACATATAAGTATCTGATTTTGCAAAGCATAGCAACTTGCCTTATGTTAGTACCTGTGTGGGCACCTCTTTAAATTGTATTCTTTTTACATTATTTTTATTTTATGTGTATGAGTGTATTGCCTGGATGTATGTAAGTGCACCTGTGTCATGAAACGCTGGCGGAGGTCAGAAGGGGTCATTGAATTCCCCTGGAACTGGAGTTATGGACAGTTGTTAGTCTCCATGTGGGTGCTGAGAATCGAGCCTGGGTCCACTACAAGAGCATACAGGGCTCTTAACCACTGAGCCATCTCTCCAGCTCTTAAACTGTGTTTAACTCTGTTTTATGTAACCTAAATATTCTTTTCTTAAAAAGATAACGTTGTATTTGGTAGCTTAGACATTTTGATGTAAGGCATAATTGCATGCTCTAGGTTGGGGGTGGGCCTTCCAGAACATTCAACTATCTTTTATGGTGTTGAATTTAATTCTCAACCATATATAAGGCTGCTGGAAGAGAACTAGATATCTTGGGTGTAAAGCAGAGGGAGGAAGCTGTGGTCTTCCCTGGCCAGGGCAGCACTGTGGAGTGGGAGGTTGTTTCTATTTCCTCTAAGAACAGTTACTGTACACAAAGCCCTCTGCTTCCATAATTAATGATCTTGCTCAGGACACAATGAGTTCCTCCTACTGAATGGGAATTTTCATTACTTCTGCTGCAAGTTTGTGTTTTTTCTTATATTATTGATAGAATTTTTAGTAGGCAAGTTGGTCACAAAAAAATAGCTTACAAAAACCTATACTTCTCTCAGGCCTTGGTAACCAAATTTGGCTGACTAATTTCATTGAGGTGGTTACACTCAATTACGTAGTATGTGAATTTGATTCGTTTTCCTGTTATTACTTTAGGGAAAAATCTCTCTCTCTCATGGTTGGCACTGGTGATTTGGGCCATAACAGATACATGTCAGACAGTCTTTCAGTGGGATAGCATCAATTATATATGAAAAAGGCATAATAAAATTCATTATTTTGTATAATGAATACAAGCTAATAAAAATCTTGTTGCTGTTGAGGCATAACAGTGTCAGTCTGGACAGGAAGACAATATGTCAAATCCTCACCTACTCATCTGTTAAAACTATGAAGCACAACACAGAAAAGTTACCTTGTGAATGAAAGAAATGGGTATACATAGTAAGACATAATTTATGAATAAAGCAAAGTCCACGGGACCCGGAAACCTGAGACTTGGACGCATAACACATGCCCCAATGAGGTGAGATACTCTTAGTAACCAGTCTAATTGCCTGGCATATCCAAGCCCTGCCTGCAAGTGCCTTGCCTAGTTAATAGCTCATCTTTCACTGCGCAGTTGAAGGTGGTTTCTCTTCCTAAAAGTGTCCATTCCCTTTCCCTAGGTTTGTGGCACACCTCAATACACAAACAACTCACTCAGGCCAGCGCTTTCTGTTCCTCTACATCTTGCTGGGCAGCAGACTGAGGAGCAGCCAGCCCTTTCCCTGAAAGTCCACATCTCAGTTCCAAATACTTTTGAATGAGTTTAAACACCTTGAAGTGAGGAGGTAGTCTTGATATATCCAGGCTTCCTCAAATCATGTGGGTCTTTAAAATTGGAAGAGGAAGGCAGAAGACTGGCCCAGGAAGTTGTCATCACAGGGACTCAAAAACACGGTAATTGGCTTGACAATCATGAGCCAAGAAATGCAGTGGCCTCTATTGCCTGCCAGTAGGCTCCAAGTTTACAGAGAGCAAGAAAACAGGGACCCCAGTCTCACAACTGCAAGAAAACCACTGCTTCCCGCAAGATGCATCAGCAGGAATTGGATCATCATTGCACAGAGCCTCCAGACAGGGGCACAGCCTGCTGTAAGACAGTTATTCTAAAATCAAAAAAATCAGAAAGAGCTTAATCCAATTTGTAATATTATGGTTTATTTGAACTGAAATATTTTAGGATATATTTTATTGATTACGTGTCATGACAATTTTGAAAACAGTCACTTCAAATTTATCCTCAACATCCTCAATAAGATTGGGAAAATGGTGCTTCTAGTTGCTTGAAAATATTCCCTTCGTGACTATCTTTGAATGTGGTATCACCTTGATGGACATGTGAACCCATTCTGACTGTGGTTAATACCAGCGATGTTGTAAGTAGGCACAAAATGCCAGCCATACAGGTATATGGTAAAATAATCTCAATATGGTACTTCCAATTATTTTGAAGATGAATCATTTTAAAATATCTCATTCAAAAATGCTGATTTCCATACTACCCTATCTAAACAAAGATTTTAATGATGGGGGAAAAGGTCAATCAGTATTTGTTTTTTCATAACTGAAAGAATAATTTAATTTCTTTTATGTTTACCTTTTAGAAAAGATCGGAATTCCATGTCTTTTTCTTCACCAATTTTCTCTTCAAGAGAGAAGTATGCATTCCTTACAGCGCCCACAGCCAGGGAAACATTGTCAACCTCCTTCTGCAGAAGACTCAGTTTACCTGCCTGGTGGTTCATTTGATCTGTCAGTTTTTGTATCACGGCTGTATGTGAGAGAGAATTTAAGCTATTAAAAACTGTCAGAATTTGTGATGTTTAAAGGAAATTCAAGTAAACCATATTTGTACTAAAGGTTTTGAAAATTAGACTAGAAATACGTAAGTTATGATGAGTCTATTTAAGGGAAGATGGTCACAAAGGTGTTATAATCTCTCTGCGTTCTACATTTTTAGTTTCCCCAGAATGTATTCTTCTAATCTTAAAGAGAGTTATTGTCACTGGGAAACCAAAATAGCTGGCTTGAGGTCATAGAACTAGTGGCTTATCTCTGCCCCTATATCCTATGCCCAGGTACTGTGTGCAGCTGTACATCTGTAGGCAGCTGAGGTTTTAGCTGAGTGCTTACTGTGTCCTAAGGTATTCCATAAAGACAGATAGACTCCAAATTCAGACTGAATCACTTTGTAGAGTACTGATTCTCTCTACCCCTTTACACACGCATTTTGTATTCAAAAAGTTGCCAGCATTTTAGATATTGAATCACAGTATAAATTACAGGCCAGTTTCTAAGGTATAATCATTTGCATTCACATTTAAAAGTCAATTTGTTGAGTTAGCATACAAAATTGATTTTATCATGGCATTTTCCTAAATATACATATCACCATATTTTCTTGTATTCACCCTCTGTTACCTGTTGGTCCCACTTTCCCTCTTAGGGTTTTCTTTCCCCAAAATGAGTGCCCCTTTCTGCTTTTATGCCTCCTGTGTTCTCCCTCTTCCTCTCTCTCTCTCTCTCTCTCTCTCTCTCTCATATGTCTGTATGCATGTATGTATATATGCATATATATATATATAAAATGTTCCACATATAAAAGGAAATGTGACATTTGTCTTTCAAAGTCTAGCTTATTTCTCTTAAGCTGTTCTCCTGGGATCATTTTAAAAGCAAGCTCATTAAATCCCATTTCTCAGTTGAGTATCATGTTTTGGTTACCAAAATCTATGCCAAGCATATTACTAAGATCAACATAAAATCTTAGGCATAAATAACTTTTCTTCAGTCAGTTATCAGCACCCTTTCCTGGTCTCTATCAGCAAAATCAGAGAACCTTCTCATCCTGCTCCTTCTCCATCAAGACACTAGTGATTGCACTATTTGCAAGACAAAAATTTGTCTTGATTTTGGAAAACTGTTCTGTCCCTCAGGTTGCGGTATTGCAGTATTTTTACTTTCCTGTGTTTGCACATGGCCATTCAAGACTTTATGCAATTCCTTTCACCTGGGAACCTGCAACTCAAACATCTAACAAGAGAAAAGAATTGAGAGGTTTGTTAATGTGCCACTAATGGCATATTTGACGGTCAAGGGATTGTTTGTTTGGAAGTCAAAATAAACAATGTTGACAATAATTAGGTTTGAGATGATAGCAATTACAGTCTAGGACCTGGGTCACCACAGTCTTGATGTTGCTGGGGCTGCTCGGCTGTTCCTCCATCAACGGCTGTGTGACTTTCAGCCTGGCTTCTGTGTGTCAGTTGCTGCTGCTCTTGGGCTAGACAGAGCAGAGAGAGGACAAAGTGTTAAGTGTTGGAAGGGCTCATGTTTTCCAGTCCTGAGTGATAACGAGGCTGACATTCATTTTCCTGTTTACTGAAGCGTGGTGATGAGGCTGACTTGCAGAGGAAGCTGGTCCACCCTATCCGTAAGACAGCATATATCACCATGGAGTTAGAAGTCAGACCTCTAATTCTGCCTGGGAAAAAATAATGAAATTATTCAAAATTTCCGTATGTGAGAAATGGATATAGTCTTACCAGATGTAAACAGACTGAGTAATTGGATAGACATCACAATCCATTGTGTTTAATGTGACAGCAAGCAGCCTTGTAAGTGGATTGATTGCTTAACAGTGCGATTTCCATCTGCTGACCACTGGAAATGAATGAAAGCTATGCTCCTTGGACCAAAATCAGCTGTTTAATTAATAGTGCTATTTAAATGGGTTGTTCCCAGATTTTTAAAAAATACATGGCCTCTGAAAGACTAAAAGTAAAAGTAAACTACTATAGGAGTATAACAAGGTGATCAGCCTATAAAGCCAGTGACATTCCTCAAAAACGGAAATTCTTATATCTATTTTCAAGGAATCCCATTTCTGACAAATGCAGCAACATTTTAAATGGTAATATAATGTGTCACTAGGAAAAACAAATTTGAAAAAGATTTACTTAAAATGTTGGACATCTAAAACAGTATGTCTTTAATTTACAGACTTTGAATGAACCTATTTATTCATTGACGTCTGCACATAAGACTTGTGCAAATACATGTTTGGTGTCTAGGTAAGGTTCTCCATCTATGAAATTTTGTGCCAGTGGAACTCTACCTGCCGTGGGTACAAACTAACCACTTTCTTAAGGCACAGGTGACTTTGATGATAACCCTAAAGCTTTCCTACTCCCTACACACTGTACTGTATTTGATTAATTTGGGTCCTTTTCCATTGTTAGATTGAATTTTGCATTTGAATTTTTTGAATCCTGTTCATCAAGGAATTGAGCTAAATCAATGAATTTCCACTTGTGTATAGTTTGTTTTGATGTCCCCTCCACTGTAACTGGTGAGTTATTTAGCGATGGAAGAAAACAATGCAGAGCTTAGAGAGATGAAGGTTGGAAGGGAAAAGTGTTAATCCTCTGCTAAGCCTTAGCACTAAGGTTCTTAAGTTGTAAATTCAAATCAATTTATAAAATGTGTCTATGAAATAACTGTGTAACTTTCCTGTCAAGGCTCCTTCCTGGCTAGGATAATAAAGTGTTTTTCTGGCAATTTGCATTTCAGTTCACTCAAGCATATAGCTAAAGAGTAATATTTCTCAAATTGGTCTCTGCACTGGCCCTGCCAACATTCCCATGGAACTTTTGAACCTGCAGCTTCAGACCCTCACCCTAAACCTGCTAATTTAAGAAGCTCTGGGGTGGGACAGCAATCTCTTTTAACAAGTTCTCCAGGTGATTCTAAAGTTTGGAAACCACTGGAGTAAAGCAAGATAACTCTTCCCTGGGAAATCCCACCTCACTCCCCTCCCTGTCTTTCTAAGCAGCAAGAACGATCCAGACTACAAACCGTGTAAATACTGGTCACAGGAAGAGCTTGCCGGTTTAACAGGATGACCGTGGTCCTTCCATTTCCTTATTGCTTGCTTTCTGGAGCTAGACCATAGGAAGAAAAAGAGCTTGTGCGTGTAAAAATCCAAATGAACCAGGTAGGAAAATTGCTCTCCAAATTGTAGGGGTTTTAACGTCACGCAAAGATCCTTGGTACCCAATGTCGCATGAACCTCTCTGCTCTGGAATTCATTAGATGGGGTCTCTGCCAAGGCTGTTAGAAACTTGAAATGCCTGTTTTACAAATTCAGTACTTTGTGTTATCTTTTCCTAGCTGTGTTTGTCAACTGGAGTTCAATGCTTGCATTCACTCTAATTTATAGCCCAGGAGTCTAAGCAGTGGCTGCAGAGAGCTGATAGGATCTCTGGAAGAACAGTCTGTTACTCTTCTATGATAAAGGGCCGAGTTGATGGATGTTCTTTTATTTTTTCATTTAGCAAGCTTTCTGTCTCCCCAAATGTATTTTTAAGCACAAGGACTGCAACAGACCCTAGGTTTTTATCCCAAGGTATCCATCTTCTCTTTCATCCAACACAGACCCTTGCCTCGCTCTGTAGAGTGCAGATTTCTAAGTCTCTTTTCCTGGTCTTCTTTCTTTAAGTGATAGGTGCGGGACTGAAAAAGCATTTATTTAAAGTTGTAAAGATCAGGGTGTAATTCATATCTTTAAATGGCAAGGCATGTTTTGAATGGGACTTCCTTTTGTCTTATCTGTTTCCCTCTACAATACAAACTCTGCCCTGACTGATCAAGGACTTAGGGGCCAGGCCGGCAGGCAGCTGTCAAGTACAACGGCTTTCTTATTAAGTGTTTTTGTTTGTTTTTTGTTTTTCTCTTTAATTAGGCAGGTTTTATTGCAAGTTTTCTTTCTTTCTTTCTTTCTTTCTTTCTTTCTTTCTTTCTTTCTTTCTTTCTTTCTTTCTTTCTTTCTTTCTTTCTTTTTTCCTTTCAAGCCTTTGAGCCATATGGAGGAAGTCATTAAAGGTGACAATACTCAGCTCTCTCCTGCTCAATTTCAGAAAACCTTCCAGTGTGTCTTGACAAGAGACACTTCCAGTTAATCCCAAGGGTCAGGTAAAACCTGTAGGTGGGTGCTTGGTAAGGTGAGGAAGGTAGCTCATGCTAAATGCATTATAATGTGATGGAGTAAGATACTCACAGAGCATAACATGCTTCCTAGGGAAGAGCTAGTTTCGTTGAAATATAGCAAACAGATTTTTCCTCTTCTAAATGCTGTAAATTTCAGCTAAATTTATTTGGAATGTATTTTAAAATACACTTACTGCAGGAACTCCAAATTAAAAATGTTAGTACTACCAGCTGTTTTGTAAGTTGTTGAATTATCTCACACTTGTAAAACAAAATATTTGTCATATTTTTATAACATACCACAGGAGTTAGCTTAATCAGTATCTGCATAGCACACATCTTTTCAATATTTGTTACTGTTTGCTAGATTTTATAAAATGCAATGTTATAATATGGCCTGTGTGAGCGTTGCGTGTTCGTGGTGCACTGACATACACGCAATCAAAACACTCATACACATAAAATAAAAATAAATGTTTTTTTTAAAAAAGGAGTTAGATACTCTCAGAGAAGGGAGAAGAAGACAGTTCAATTGCTGCTATGGAAAAACTGGGTGGAGTGCAATTTTTAAGAGATTTTCAAAAAGGTTTTATTCATCACCATTTGAATTTAAATTCCTTTCCTTTATGATATCTTAAGAAGTCATAATTTCCTGTTCCACTTCAGCATATTTTAGAGACATCTACTGGAGAGGCACATAACTGCAAGTATTATCAGAAAGTTTAAGTGGGAAAATGTCTCTAACATCCTATCACAAAATAAAATAAGTCACTTCCAAAAGGCAAGGTTTGGGACCCCAATAGGCACATCTATTACTTTGATGCTAGACCTAGTGCTCTTTTTTTCTAAAAGGTAAGCATCTGGCAAATTTTTTAAAAATTGAGTTCCATTTGATTTTATAGCTACTATTTCAATAGGTTATTTACCAGTAGAATTCTAGTGTTTTGATTATCTATAGGATTGCACAGCTGGTAATCCTATGGTGAACAGAAACCAGAGGAACTTCCCCATGGGTTTAGATGAGCAGCTGCTTCTTGGTAATCAGAAAGAAAAGGGGAGAAAAGGAGCAACTGGGGCTGCAGAGCACTGACCGCCCTTGCAGAAGATCAGGGTTCTGTTCCCACTACCCACAAGGTGACTAACAACTATCCCTAACTTCAGTTTCCCCACACCTGTAAGCCCAGCAACTCAGGAGGCAGAGGCAGGCAGATCTCTGTGAGTTTGAGCCCAACCTGGTCTACAAAGTGAGTTCCAGCCCAGCTGGGGCTACAGGGAGATCCTGTCTCAAAAAGACAAAAGGGGTGGGGAGGATAAGTTCAGGGAAGGAAGAGGAAGGCAATTCAGTTGCTGACAATTCTACTTTTTCTTGATCTACTGCTGTGTCTTATATATATAATTTCCCTACAGGAATCTAAATTAAAATGAAATTATTATATTCACATTATGAAATTAATTTTGTTAATGGAGAAGAAATTTGTTTGGGAAGCAAGGATTTATAAAGTGTGTGTGGTCCTTTACACATTTTCTGTGGATAATAATCTTCTGACACTTGGAATGCCCTGAAATGATTTTCATGGCACCCACATAACCAAACTGTAAAGGACCCACAAGAGGCTTAAAGAGTGGAGCAGTCTAATTATTCCTGGCATATTTGAGGCAGCCTGCCACCGGAGGCAGCATGGACATGGCTGTCAAACACTTTATTCTTAAAGGGGACAAATTGCTCTACTGTATAAGAATGGGAGACTGGTGGCAAATTTATCAAGTTTGATAGAACTAGGACTAGGGTGGGGGTTGGGGGAGCTTGGTAGACATCAGAAAGGGAAACTGTGAAGATGGAAGAAACGGGGTGAGCTGATGAAAGGTGGTTCAGGGATGAGATGGCGCAGTAGCTCTCGAAGCTACCAGCATCAACTGCGCTTATAAAAAATTGAACTGTTTTATGGACTGCAATAAAAGTCAGAAGAAAATGGCTAAGGTTCTGTCTGAGCAACGTGACATTATTTTGGAATCAACGCCACATTAGAATTGATTGTATGAGGGCCTAATTGGGCGACCTGCCATTCAAGTGTTATTCCCTCATAGATTTCAATAGGGAAGGTGTCTCCCATAACAGCTTAATCAACTGACACCAGCTTTTTGAGTAGCTTTAATTAGGTGTCTATGACAGGAGGTCATCACCGGAGCTTTTCTAGGGTTTTTTTTTTTTTTTTCTTTTTTCTTTTTTTTGGCCAATCTGTATTAAAATACCAATTTTCTTCAAATATACTGTTAAAGATAATCTATAGGTAGCCCCCAGTTTGACTCTGAGATGCCATTAACAATAGAAAATAAACTATTTAAACACTTGACAATACCCACAAGCAGGGAATGAGAGTTCAGAACAAATATTCAAAATTATCAAATGATTTTATTTCTTATGGGTATATTTACCATACTGGAGTTCTATTACACTTTTTTTTTTTTTTTTTCCAACTGGAGTTCTATTACACTTTTTTTTTTTTTTTTCCTACACAGATGCTGGGCTGGAGACATGGCTCAGTGTTTAACAGCACTGGCTGCTCTTGCAGAGAATCAGGATTTGATTCCCAGAACCCATATGGTGGCTAACAACCCTCTGTAACTCCAGTTCCAGGGGATTCACCACCCTTTTCTGATCTCAGTGGGCATTGCATGACACAGGTGCACTTACATACATGCACAGAATACACAATTAGACATAAAATAAAATTAATAAATATTTTAAAAATGGACTGATTATCAAGTGCAAAAGGCTGAGATATGGAGCAAACCCAGTTTTCAGCAGTTGGGCCCAAGACATGCTTTAACATCCTGCCTGCTTTGCTTCCTGTGGCCTAGAGTCAGCCATTCTGTGCAGTGAGGTATGTAATACCAACCTACATTTCATTACTTTTTTGCATTTTTTATTGAATTTTTTTAAATTTTCATACAATATATTTTGATGATATTTAGATCCATTCCCCTTTCCACACCTCCCTCCACTGCCCATTGCCCAATTCAATGAACTCTTTTACATTAATAACATAGCCTATGGCATATGATCCATGTCCCCCAATGTCCTTCAGTGTTAATCTAGTCAATGGACCCATGAAGAGTTCCAACCCTACAAGACACTGTTTTGCCTCCTCCCAGCAGCCATCAGTTGCCAAAAGTTCCCTAGGTTGGGTTAGGGTTTCTTATCCACTTCTCCGTGTCTGCGCTGGGACTTTGAACAACCTGCGTTTTATAAAAAGCATTTTGCAATCAAATACTTGACTCTTCAAGAAATAACCATGGGTTTCTCAAAATATCCTTTTTCATGTTTGAAGAGAAACAAATATCTAAAACATAATTCTAAATAATGTTGTAAACTTTGAATAATTTATAAGAAATGCAGATAAGAAACAGACTTCTATGCTGTGAACATATTTGTACATCTCATGAAACATTACAATATTCTGTATTACCTCATTTCTGAATATTTCCAGTATAGATGGTGCTTCCTTTAAAAGTTTAGTTTCCCTTGTTGTAAGGTGAAATATTCATGCTACACTCTGACCATACATTGGAATTTCTATCATTTCTGAAATTTAAATCAGACCAGAAAAAGGAGCATTGCCAGGGACTTTTCCCGCAAATTCTCTCTGCATGGGCTGCAGGCCGTGAACAGCATCCCTAACTGAACTGCAGGATTCCTAGTGCTTGTATATTAGAATTTCCTTTTCATAATGTGACTCATAATGGTTTCTTCACAGTTACATTAATTTTTAATCACAATCTCCTATGCTGTTGATTGAATTCCCCACCACTGCTAATGGCTTTTCTTGTAATATTCATTCATTTAAAATATGTATGTTGGTGCCATATCTTATTTTTCAAAGAAAATCTGTTTAAAGCTAAAGCAAAATAATAGTTGCATGGAGGTTAGACCACAGCAGTTTCCTGTGCGTTTGATCAGCCTTACAACCAGAAAAATCCTTAAAATCTCGGTTGAAAAAATTGACTCCATTAAGGTGAAAACAAACAAACAATGAATTATTCCTAGAATACATGGCATATTCTTTAATCTCAAATTTCATTCATGAACATTATTTGAAGTAGCTGAACTGGAACAAAGATAAAAGGTTGTGTAATTTTTTTATATGGGGTTTACTTCTAATAAAAATTTATTTAAAATATAAAATTAAATTTCATATCTCAATAAAACAGTCTTGTACTTTTTAGTTGAGAATAAGTAAGTAGAGAGCTGGGCATGGTGGCTCATGCCTTTAATCCCAGCACTTGGGAAGCAGGCAGATCTCTGTAAGATCAAAGCCAGCCTGGTCTACAAAGCGAGAACACACACACACACACACACACACACACACACACACACACAGAGAAAAGAAAAAAAAAAAAAGAATAATCAAGATAGTACGCCTTTACTCATTTCATAAAACCAGCATAAAGGTGAGGGGAGAAGCTAAAGGACAATTGATGAAATTTTAGATTATACCAAATCAAGAAGCTCTTTTAAAAAATACAACAGTCCGGGCGCGGTGGCGCACGCCTTTAATCCCAGCACTCAGGAGGCAGAGGCAGGCGGATCTCTGTGAGTTCAAGGCCAGCCTGGTCTACCTAGTGAGTTCCAGGACAGCTGGGGCTACAGGGAGACCCTGTCTCAAAAAGACCAAATAAATAAATAAATAAATAAATAAATAAATAAATAAATAAACAAGCAACAGTCCTGCAATTGGCTTCCTGTTGCTTTTCCTTGGTTCAGATTTGCTTCACTGGAATCAATGACTTATTTATCAATTTCTTAGGATCATCCTGTGCTGAATGATGTCATGTTGTCATACTGGAGCATACCTGTGAGCTGACACGTTGGGCCACTGTACCCAGGACAGCACTTCCATTCTAATGAGGTAACAATCTTATGCTGCATCTTATAAACAGCACTGGGTGTCTTCTGCGATCTGGAGATGAAAGCAATTGGGACACAATTATTATTATTATGATAGTATCGAATCATAAATTCAAAATATTTGGAATAATACATGAACTATATAATAAGCATTTAGTGTTAATTGGCATTATTATAACCATAAACATTACCATCAATATTATATTAAAAGTAGTCAACACAGTATCTTTGAATATATGACAAAAAGCTTAGTGGTTTTACTATCAGTATTTTAAATTAATACCTACCACTACAAGGAAAACACATTTTCCTTGTTTAATGCTTTCTAGCTAAATCAATGTTAAAACTTACTTTAATTTCAATGTTTAAGTGTCATACACATGAGAATAAATTTTCTATTTCTGTTTTATTATTTACTAAATGTTTATAGCTAAAATATCTCTATTTTCTGCAGATAAATAACAAAGCACCTGAAATAGGTTAGACATTAGTGATTAAATTAGAATTAGAATAATTGCTGCCATCTCAACCTATGGGTTCCCATTTTCCCAGTTTTAAAATTATACTATCTACTTCTCATCTCATATAGTATTTCAGAGAGAAAGGAGAGAGAGAGACAGAGAGAGAGTGAGAGAGAGAAGGCATCAAATGTGAGAAAATATTATTTCTGAGATGAAATCACAGAAGGAAAAATGAATAAACTACAGCATTTGAATACAACTGGTATAATTAGTGAATGGCACTAAATTACAGGATCTGTGTATGTGAATTTGTTACAAGTATAATGTAGCCATATTATTCCTATCTATAAGACTTCAATATATAGATGATATTTACCAAATGGCTATATGAAACAGGTAGGCGGAGTTGTGCATGATCACCATATTACTTCTGATCTACCGAGGAACCAGAAGAAGAGAGAGATAAAACAACTTGTCCAAACATATCTAAAATTAATGGAACTGGAATTTCAACCTAGCTTGTATGAGTCAGGCCCACCGTCCTGGAATTTACCAGCCATCCCTTGTGTCCTGTCTGAGACCCTCCTGAGTGCAAGGAAGGTGGAGGAAATGCATGAAAATGGAAGGGACTTTGGGATACTTGCATTTCAGTTTCTGCTGTAACATGACAGGTAATCTAGAATGTTAGGGGTTATTCCTCAATGGAAAAATGAGTTGTAAAATTCTTTCCTTCTCTAAAAGCACATTACATCATTCACTTGTGTTTATTTCAATAAGATACATCCCGTAAATAACTGTTGAATGAAATATCATCCCTAGCCAATTCGGTTGAATCGCCCTGGGAGGAGGAGTGTTCCTGCTGTAGCAAATTGGCTACCTGTTGTATGTAGTTCAGATACAATAAGAGAAAAAAAAAATCAAATACTGTATACACACTGAAATGTGAATGAATAGAACCATCCATTTGAAAGAGATCAGAGTAAAGATAAACTGGTTTGGGGGAGGGCAGAAAATGAGCTCACCTTGAACCCAGAAGGACAATCCATAAGAGTTGCTGTGGTAATGTTTCCATTACTAAAGATTAACAATGTGTTCTTTCTGTCTTGGTTGACAAAGAAATTGTCACAAAGGGAATAAAGGCTGATAGCAGAGCTGCGGCCTGGCACTCTCAGATCCCTAAGATGTGCTCGACTCTCTAGACCTTAGTCCTCAAGGGACTAAGAAACACCTGGATTTTATGTGTCCTCACTGTGCATTGGTTCCAATTGAGGATGTGCTAGCTTCATTGTAAGGCAATTTGCATAACATTAGTCTCATGGCTTGAATCGCAGTGCTAGTTTGATTGCAGGCTCTTTATAAACATCTCCAGTGAAGTGCTCAGATCTGCATTTTAGGACAATAGTAAAGGTATACATACCCTACATTTTAGGACAATGGTAAAGATATATATTTGAAGAAAATTTATAACAAGGTCATTAAAGCAATGGAAGAGCTGTTTTCCAATGCATATTTATAATTAGTGGTTGTCTATATTTTGGAATATGAGCAAAGCTTACATGTTCATTAGATTACAGAACTAAAATAATGGTGACTATAAAAGCAAGAAAGTTAACATTCTTTAAACATTCACAACACTCCAGGCAGTAGGGTAAATATATGGATGCTTTATCTCATGGGATTCAAAAAACAGCCTTTGGATACAAGTATTATTAGTAACCACATTTTAGCATCTTAATTTATTGAAGATCTCATATTTAGTTTAATATGGGGACTGCCCACCCAGTCATGCTGTGTATATATACATGGGATAGGCAAACAGTGACTATTTTCAGAAATATTACATACCTTTGAGGACAGGATGCACTGTTCCAGCCACAGGGTCCTCTCCCATTTGGTACATAAGAGCCAAGATTGTCCAGTATCACAGTGGGGGATAACCTGGTATGGACATATGCACACCAATTCCTGAGGGAACAATTATTACTGTTAGAAAAAAATGTTGTCAGAACACAATATTTTTGTCAAAATCATTTTCCCAAAAATTTACCTAATTCTGCTGATATACCAGTAAGATACTTTCTTTTTTAAAAAAAAATTATCATTTTTATTTTAAGTGTATGCATATATTGCCTGCATGTAGGTAAGTGCACCCGCGTCGTGCAATGCCCGTGGAGGACAGAAGAGGCTGTCGGATCCCCTGGGACTGAAGTTATGACAGTTGTTAGCTGCCATGCAGGTGCTGGGATCTGAACCTGGGTCTTCTACAAGAACAGTCAGTGTTCTTCACTGCTGAACCTCCTCTTCAGCTCCCCAATAACATACTTTCAAAAATGTTTATCTACTAGCTTTAGAATCCATACAGGAAAGAAAACGAACATTGCTTGATTGCTGTGCTCAAGGAGAGTTATTTAAAAAGTACTATAAGATCAAGATAAAGAATAAAAATAATCAGAACTAAATTAGAGTCTGTACTTTTTATTTATTTATAAGAAGAAAATCCAAGACTGCCTTTATATAAAATAATCAAAGGCTCAGATCTAGGCCTATTAATTTAGGTAATGGTATCAAGTAAGTAAATTGAATAATGTGTAGAAAGACAGAAATAAGTAAAATAAAATAGTGTAAAGATTAAAAAAGAATATAGCATCCAACGGCTGAAAAGATGGCTCAACGGTTAAGAATGCTGGCTGTTCTTGCAGAAGACTCGGGTTCGAATCCCAGCACCCACATGGCAGCTAACAACTGTCCATAACTTCAGTTCCAGGGGATCTGACAGCCTCTTCTGTCCTCCACAGGCATTGTACGACACAGGTGCACTTACCTACATGCAATAAATAAGTAAATAAAAGAATATAGCATCCAATAAAATGACTGTAAATAAAAACAAAATATTGCAGATGAAAATTATTTTTAAGTGTTAAGCAATGTAATTAAGTTCAGCATGCACTTTTTAAAAACAGTTTATAGCACATTAATTTAATTTTGCCCCTAAGTAAAAAACACTTATACTATTCACAATAGCAACATGTGGTGAGGGTAATGTTCAGAATGAATCCAACAAGAGCAGTGTAAGATTAGCTCAAAGGAAAATCAAAGTAGACTAATTCTTAGGAAAACCCAGTGTAAGCATGACAAGATCACCTATAAAGTCAAGGTGTTTAAAGTACAACATAAGTTTTATATGAAGAGTTAAACCAGCTTGTTCTATAAGCTGTTGCATAGAGCTTTGTCTCTGGCATAGCAGTCTCAGCTATACTTTTCTGTGGTATATATGTGTTTTCTAATAAGCAGGAAACAACAGTTTCCAGATGTTGTATAGGGGCCCACACAGTCATGGGAGCAATTTTCAACATGCAACAGAGAAGGGTGGGTCCCCCCAAAAGAAAACACCTATAGAAGGGAATGCAGACAAGGTTCTTCCTAAGAGGCCGTGAAAATGGGTGGAAGAGTCCAAAAATGAGGGACAGGCAGAAATGTCAAAGTCAAAGTCAACAGAAGGTTTTAGTGAATCTAGGGCTGGACATAGTGTTTTGGTTGCAGGCAGCATAACCTAGATATGCAACAGAATCCATGGGGCATAGCATGAGACACAACAAATAAAAGCAAAAGTGGAAATTGAAATTAGGGACAATATACACAGCAAAACTCAAGTAAATAGAAAAATCAAAACAAAAAGTAGACAGATTCTGGGATTAGAAGTAATGGACTTAGCTTGGTAAACAAACAGTGTGTGCGTTCAACCCTGAGGCAAGTGCATGCCGTTGGAACACTGTAGAAATCATGCTCAAAAACCAAGATGAGTGGTAGAAACGGCTACACTTAGTACAGGGCAGACAGTTTAAAGATCAGTAAATGCAAATCAGAGTGCTTTGAGTTAGTTACATGAGGAGAGTTCGAGAAGGGATTAAGGAAAGGTGAGACTAGAATCCTTAAAGAGAATGACATAAATCTCTCTAAATTTAATTTTTAAAGAGCATCTAAGATGCTCAGTGACTTCACAGAAGATAAACCCAAAGTCAAACCTGACTGAAGCCCATCCTTCAAAAGTTCCAGAAAAATAGCGTGTGTGTGTGGGGGGGGGGTAGGGGGTATATTAATTAGTGTGACTTAATTAACTGATTAATTAGTGTGATTTCGTCATTCCAGGTATGTCCATGTAAAACATCCATATAAAGCAGATAAGCCGAATATGTCAAGGCTCTTTGAAGAGAAGTTTACACCATTAAATTTCTCAAAGAAATTTAAAAACACGCTGGCAAATTTTGCTAAAACATGGTGGTACTTGAGGCAAAATAGAAAAAAAAAAAAAAACAAAAGAACTGGGAAAAGCAAAAAATAAAAATAGAGAAGAATCCGTTAAAATTCAGAGGAGCACAATAAAGGAAGTTTTAAAACAATTAACTACCTTCCTTATGCAAATTGAATGATGATCTTAAACACTTCAAAAAACAGCAATGAGACTGTCATGTGAACATCCATCATAGGACTAGGAGGACAGAGTGGGTCCTAGAAAAATAGTGCCAACATCTCTACATACTTGGGATTTCAAAAAGGAAGCATATGTTTTCTCTGTGATACGAAACAGAAATGTCACCTGCAGAGACTTTTCTCAGTTCTCAATGTCACAACCAAAACAACCCTGTGACCCCAGTGGCAAAGGAAGCAGACCAGCAATCTCTGATCCAGGGGAAATCAGGGAACCCTCAGCAAATAAGCCCCTGGTGTGACTCTAATTAGGCTTCTGCTGCTGATGAAATAAGCTCATTAAGGCATGTTAAAATGTAAATAAAATTTCAAAACTAAATTATCCGAAAACAGAGGTTTAAAAATACAAAATTAAGCGTGGCAAAAACAGTGACAGGCAGTTTAAAGGCAAATGCAGTGATCCCAGCCAATCTAGAAGTCCTTTGTCCTTCACAGGCTGACTGGTCCAGAGAGCCACCACTTTGAAGCTCTCAACTCTCCGGGGGGGGGGGGGGTCACAGTCTTGCACCCAGGGGCTGTATCTGGAATTCTCTCTAAAATTAATAACTCTGTTGCATTGTGCAGCAACATACACTGAAAGCGCTAGTATTGATTCTTTGCCTTTTTCATGTCATTGGGGAAAAGGTTTCCTCTAGGGCAAATAGGCTTTGGTTGTGAGTAAAAACCTAGCTTGTTGAATGCAGTAATCGAAGGTGGAAAAGCACTCTATGATGACTTACAGCTCAAACGCTTGCATACGATGGAACACAAAAAGGCATTGGGAATCATCCATGCTTTCTATTTGGCATTTAGAAACTCAGTCTTTCAATAATAGACTAAATTAAGAAAAACTTTCTTCGAGTGACCAGATCACGTCCCAATCATATCTGCTTTTATCCTGCAAATGAGTAGACAGACCAGTGAAGTTGCCTCTGAACAGTGACCACATAGAAATAGGCACTTTAAGAAATGAAAGACAGCAATCAAAACAGTGACGTTCAGTTATGCAAGTCTTTGGAACACTGATGAACACACTGCTGGTCATGCAATTCCTTGGGGCTTAAACTTTCATCTTCATGCTATGTGACTGGAATTGACAGGACAGTAGAAACACACCCAGCCCTGAAGACAGCCACTGACTGACAACCACTCAGAATGTCTACAGCAAACCAAGCCAATGGCCCTCTCAGAAGGCAGATGTTATGTGCAGGAGACTTCATAGAATAACCTTTCTTTCCTACCATCCCCTTATTTAGATTAGACAGTCAAAGAAAACACAAAAAAAAAATGAAGCAAAACTCAATGATGACAAGCAGGAAAGCCTTCCCTAAATGTAGGGAAATGTAGGTATGCAATTTTGTGTTTACTATTTCTGTAGGTTAAACCCAGTTCTTTCATCTCAAGTTCTTAAGTCTGAGTTATATGTCATTGACATCTTCTTATTTTTGTATAAATTACTAAAAACTAGAGTTTATGTCTAAAGAAAAATAAAAGCTTAATGGAAAAATGATCCCAGCACTCAGGAGGCAGAGGCAGGTGGATCTCAATGAGTTGAAGGCCGGCCTAGTCTACATAGTGAGATCCAGGACAGCTGGGGCTACAGGGAGACCCTATCTCAAAAAAAAACAAAACAACCCCCCCAAACCCATTTTTGTTTTTAATTGTCAGGGGAAAACCATTTTAGAAAAAACTCGATTTTCTTTAAAGGTAAAATCATTAAGTACCTAGAGATAAGATGCTTTCAGCTAGGAAAGAGTATGGATTTTTAGAAAGTTCCACTGCCCAGAGTGAATGTTCTCCTTAACATTCTAGCAAAATCTGAGAGCACCATCATCATGATAGCCAAAGACAGAAGCGACCCAAGTGCCCATAGTAAATAAAGAGAAAAATAAGCTATAATATACATTATAGTTTATATATAGCATATAGTATTCTATATATGCACACACAGAGAAAATGGCACATTATTCAATATCAGACAGGAAGAAAATAAAAATTAATATATAAAAATGAATAAAAAAGAAGGAACAATTTGAAAAACGTTATGGCATGAAGGAACCTTGAAGATGCTATGTTAAATGAAATAAACTAACCACAAAGGACAAATATTGTGTGATTCCATTTATATGGTGAACCTTACAGTAAGTAAAGTCAAGGAGACAGAGAGTAGACTGTGGCTGCTAGGAGCTGGGAGGAGGGAGGAAGTGGGAGCTCTTTGATGGTGAAGAAGTCCAAGTTGATGCTGGTAATGGTTGGAGAACAATTAATATAAACAATTAATATAGAACTACATACCCGAAGATGGTTAAAATCGTAAAATTTTATGTTATTTGTATTTTACACCAGCAAAACACATGCAAAAACATGGAAAGCATAAATTATACTGCAAAGTGACCCTTTTCAAAATCAGGGAAAGAAAGAAAAAAGACAAGATAGAAGGGGGAGGCGGCTCCAAAGGGGAAAAAAGAGGAAAGATCAGAGATTTTTTTTTTTAATCATAG